TCCGCCATGAGCAGTGTTAGGGTTACGGTGGAATGGGGATTCGGTCGAGTCGTCGCCCAGTGGCCCTACGTAGACTACCACAAGAAGCAGCAGGTCGGTCTAAGCGCGTGTGGCCTCGGCAAGCAGTATTCTGTTGCCGGCATTCTCACCAATTGCCATTGCTGCTTGTACCCAAATTCGACGGCACAGTACTTTGACCTCCAACCCCCGTGCCTCGAGGAATACCTACAGGGAGAGGGCTAAGTAGGACGTACTCGAAATAGGAATCGACGTTGGGACGGGGTAGTCACACGCTCGCGCAACTTGGTATGAAGTAGGGATGCCGTGTTGAGGTTAGACAACGACGCATATGAGGTGCTCCGAGGAACTGTCGGCGCCAGGAGCAGGAGATCAACGCAAGGGACGGAGATGGGTCGGGTGTGCGGCATGAAAAGAGGCAGCATGCTTCGCACTTAAATCTTTTTATGTGTCGTCGCGTGCTTACTCTTCGGCCGCCATTGCATATGACTACGAAGTTCGTGCGTGCTAGGTCTGCTTCAGCCCTCGCACATCATGAGGGGTTCATGGGAGGCACGACGTGCCGCCCTCGTCTCACTAACTGTATGACACGAATGTACTGGTGATTTTTCCTTCCCATTTTATTTTTTAATTATTTCAGTCTGCTTTCGATAGTTTCCCCTAATTAAACTACCGATTTCCTCTACATCGCACTATATTTCTTGGCTGTGCTTGAGATGAGGTAAACCTCATCGCTTTGGTCACGAGGAATACGTTATACTTTCGTGGTTAGAGGTCACGGTTGGAACCGCTTTGAATCGACAAAGGGACAGCAAACGTGGAACTGAAGCCACCAAAGTGTAAAGTACATCTAACCACCAAAGGACTCGCAATGGGGTAGCAGCCCAGGCTGCGCACCCACACGAAATCCTTGGACCAGGTACGACGACTTATGCAAAATATTCCAAAAACAGCACAGGAGAAAGTCAAATCAAGCGGAGCGGAAGAGGTTCACTACCCACAGCTTCACGCACGTCGTACACCTGCTCCCCCTCACCCACAAAATGTTGGTGGTGTCTCTAGTAGGGGTAAGAAAGGTGCTCCGTCTCGAAAGGGACGCGTGGTCAATGGACAAATGACTACGGCAAGCAACAAATGAGTACGCCCCCCCCCCCCCCCCCCCCCCCCCCCCCCCCCCCCCCCCCCCCCCCCCCCCCCCCCCCCCCCCC